CTCTCTCTCTCTCTCTCTCTCTCTCTCTCTCTCTCGGCCATCGCCTGATTGTGGTCTGTCGTAAACAATTCAAACATGTAATGTAATGGGGTTTTTGAAATTGGGTTCATTGAGTGTTATTGAGTACTTATATTGCCTATCGTTATATTGATTGACTATTATATGAATGACTTTACTTTACAATAAATTGCATTTCCACTCGTCTTAGAGCTGATCCTCAATCGCATACAACACCTGCTCTCAAGTCTATCACTCGTTGTCTCTCTTTATTAAAAAATAATATGAATTTTGTTTTGTTTTCGTTTTTAAAAAACTAAATCTACTTAAAAGTAAATCAATTTTCTACAAAAATTGTTATTTTATAACTTAATTTAAGTTAACAACAAGTATAGATATTTTCACAAAATTTTTTACTCAAACAATAATAGCCATAATGAAATAATAACCTATAAATATAATCATATCTCGCTTATTTATTACATTCATAAATTGTTAAATCAAAATCACTACCATAATGAATGATGAAATGAATTTACTGTACAACTAAAATGTTAACAACAATTAAATTTAATAGACTTAAATTCATCCAAATTGAAACATTAATAATAGGATACAATTATCAAATGAATTGCAAAAGTATAGTAAACATACTTTGTAATCATGGTGGCAAACATTGATAAGTTGGATGATGCCAATAGTAATTGAATGGACACAACACCTCAATTATAGACCAGTTGGGCGACGGGTGTTGTAAACATATGAGATACCAACTCGTATTGGTCGGGTGTGCGACCACATGCTCTCCATAACAATTAACAATATGGTCGTCGATCTTCTCATAAAACTTCAATTCTTGTGACTTATATTCTTTGACACAAAACTCGCCCTTTGGGTTATAGATGTGGGGCTTTGGGCTATCGCCGCATTTATGCTCTTCATACTCGAGTTTACCATATTCATCATAACGACAGGTTATATAACCACGTGGATTCAATGGATTACTATTTTGTCCCAATTTATGGCATAGTTCACGGGCCCAGTCGATGGGCGAACTCGTTGTTGTCGGTATAGATGTGGTCGTCTCTACCGTCTCCTCGACGCAGGTGTTAATCGTTTGACTCCAACGATAGCCACTGAAACACTGCCTAACGATTACTTCCCAACCGACCCGTCGTTTATCCTCCATTAATGGCTTACAGACAGCGAACTTACGCCTATCGTCCGGGTATACCATAGGCCCCGGTTTACGGCACTCAATACATCGCTGTATCGGCTGTGAGTTTCCCGACGGCGTTGTTGACGGTGTTGTTGTCTGTGGTGTGGTTGGGGTTGTGGTGTTGCGGTCGTCCCGATCGACAATACATGTGCGCGATATCACATCAAATACCAGTGTTGTTGGCCGACAGGACTGTATGTGGAAATCCCATCCCACGTAATCCTGTAGTGTTATGTGCCAACAGTTTATAAACATATGCCGATTACTCGGGTGTGGGAATAGACCCGTTGACGGACACGAAAACACCAGCCCTTTGTTTTGGCCTATAATATTGAAATATTTATAACGAAGTTTAGCTTAAATTTTGAAATATTGTCAATTTGTAACCTGTGTTTGAATTAATAATAGCAATTAATTGCAATATAAAACACAAGCGAAACATTATTAATAGTTTATTGTTTTCACATTTAATATAAAACAAAAGTTAATCTCACACTTCATTTGCCGACACTATTAAAGGGTATTTCAAACAAATTGAATAACTTTTTTAAAATAAAGTATTATATTTAAGTGGATGTGAAGAAAATACTTGAATTTATCTCTAATTGTTCAGATTAACAGCCAATATATGATTTTTCCATTAAATAATGGCAATAAATAGATATTTTCAGATATTGTTTTCAAATTATGTTTATTTACATTGTTTTACAGTTGCATTCAATTTTACATTAAGTTTATAATTATACTTGATTATATACCTGGTATTGACAAGTATTTAAAAATTAAAACCAAATTATTAAAATATATATTAAGAAAAGGATTATACAAATAAATCTATTTAAAATTGCCTTAAGTGATTACCAGTCAATAAATTTACTATTTATCGCATTTCAAAGTATCCTGATTCCACTTGGTCGCACCTGGACAGACCATTTTATGCAACCACCAGCCCTTGCCTGGGATCCATTCGCACTGATAAAACACATGTGGGTCAGTACTATCGGGCATATATCCATCCTTCGAGCACCAGTAGTCGATTGGACTCTTAGAAGTGGTGGGAAGGGGCGGCTCAGTGGTGGGTTGAGTGGGCGGTGGTGTAGGTTTGGGTGTTGTAGTGGTTGTGGTCGGGGGTGAAGTGGGTTTGGGAGTAGTGGGGAAGAGATCGCCGTATTTACACTCCATTGAATGTATTTCGTCTCCGTTGAGCATTGAATGCACTTTCCTTAAGAGCGGATACTTAACTGAACCGCACCGGGACTTGAAGTCGTCGTTTTCCAGCGACCAAATCATTGCTCCCTTTAAACCCATTAACTTTAGAAACGCTATCTATTTATACAATTAGGAAATGCGATAATTATTATAATTAAAATGTCAATTGATGTTTTAGTTAATGTAATCATATTTACTTTGCATTGAATACTGTCCTCGTTATCAAAGCCAATGAATATGTCTTTAGTCCAGGCATACGGTGCCATATAGTACTTGTCGTACGAGTTGTGCCACTCTTGCGGATGCTGTTTCTCCAACAGACATAACTGTTATAAATAAATCTCTGTTAAAATTTTTAATTATAAACATTTTATACATTACTACAAACCTCATCATAGCCGAGCACTCCCGGCTCGTGCGATATCTTGCCCGCGGGTGCCATACCTTTAGCGTAATCGTGAATATTTACTTGCGTTTCATTCAACAGAGTCCACGCCCGGCCATAGAAGGGCACTCCCATTACCATCTTATCCTTAGACAGACCCAGACTTAGGAAGTAATGAATAGTATAGTCGACTGTAAACCACTTGAAGTTAACGCCATATTTTTTGCTCAGTTCGTCGGTCTCGTCGGGGCGGCTAAAGAGTGGTGAGTTGTGGCCGAGAAACCCCTCCCAACCCCCGTGATAGTCGTATGCCATCACATTTGCCCAATCGAGCAGTTCATTCAGTTTCGGCACAATATATGCCGAGTCTATCGTTTGCTTTCCCGGCGAGAGAGCCGCTGTCAATAGGTATCCGTGGGGTTCAAAAGCCGCCCGTAATTCAGTCAACAGTTGGATATAATTGTCTTTATCAGTGTTAGCGCCGCCTCTATTGCCCGGGTATTCCCAATCCAAGTCCAGGCCATCGAAGTTGTATTTACCCAAAAAGGCGATAACACTTCTCACAAACTTATGTCGGATTTCAGCGTTGGTAACCATATCTGAGTACTTCTCTGACCCCTCATACCAACCGCCCAACGATATCATTGTCGTTAAGTTCGGGTTCTTCTTCTTCAGATCGACAAATCTCTGGTAAGACTCTAATGAATAAATTTAAGTGATATTAATTTAAAAACATTTCTCATTAGACAGATAACTAACGCAAGTGCTCGTCAAGCCAGGGATCAAACACCAGTATCTCATACGTGTATTCATCGATTTTGGCAAAACCATAGTTAATATGAGTGCATAAATTGTAATTAATGTCCTCGATGTCAAAGGGCTCGTCCTGATGATAGTGTGCCCAACTCCCAAAGTAACACACTATTGGGTGAGGATTTTTTACATAGTCGTTGTGATCTATTTAAACCATATTAAATTTAATTTTAATAATATTTAAAATATGTATTATTTTATGCCTTTGTTTCGCTGAAAGGCGTCTATGTCTACGAGAAATGAAACCAATAATACGGATAACAATACAACTGTAAGTTTTGTCATAATTTCTCACTTATTTGTGAGATTTATTCAACAAAATTGATTGATTTTAAAATTATAATTTCGTTTTCTTATTTATATATTCTTTAAATCCTTGTTGGGAGGGATCAGCAAACAGTAAACAGATTTCAAATACTAAATATGTATGTATTTATTATTAATCTATTTGTTATTTATCAATAATGATTAATATATTGTTAATATATCAGTTTATTAATTATGTTTTATTAATAATTAAGTATATTACTTTTATCCATAAATCTGATTATATGGTATAATTTATCAAAAATTTATATTTTCCTAAATTAGCAAAACAATTTTATTTAAATATTTATTTGCTTAATAATAAGAGTGATGATTAAATGTGAAATATAACTACAGTAATCACTAAAAAGTATGATTATGTATTAAAACCCATAATAAAACTTATTGCAAATAATATTAGATATTAGCAGATATTGTATTATTATTACCAATAATTAGCAATTTGTTGTGTAATGTTCCATATAATCAGATAATGTTTTGTAAATTAGAGATACAAATATAGATATTCACATAAAATGTCAAAACAGTTACAATTAAAATTACAATGAAAATCAAACAAACAATATCTTACAAAATTCAATATAATTGTTTATATGTTAGCAAAACAATTCTGGTGATTCTTATAAGATTACGACCTTATGCTGTGGAACATAAGTTGGATTTCATATTAACCATATAGCTAACTATTTTTGCTAGGTATTTCTGCTTAAATATTTGTTGATAATATTACCCAACCATTCATTAAATTGAATATTTTGATGGGAAATTTCAAAACTACTAAATGTTTATTCTTGGTATATGTTAATCAGTTAAGCATTCATTGTCAAGTTTTAAATAATGATCACTGTAATATTAAATAATTGTTTGGTATAAAAGCCGATCATTTTGTTTGCCACTGAAGTGAGAGCTGAACCGACAACCGATTCGGAACAGAAACCAAGTTTTAACTCATCAAATGGTTTGCTTCACCACTCGATTCTACTATTGACGGTCAGATTGTTTGTTATATCATATTTGTTATTTATACTAAATTAAAGTTTAATAAATTTAAAAGTATTAATTATAATCAGAATTAATGTGTGTAATTTGCAAGTTTGTATAATGGTTAAAACAGTTTTAAAACATTTTAAAACATTAAACATACATGTATATGGTAAGTGTCCATAATTGGATACTTTCATATTTCATAAAGATGATAAATGTAAACAAGTATTGTATTTTGCATTTAAATTTCGTTAAATTTTATTTTAAAATTATGTTTATATACAATGTTTTATAATTATATTTGCATTCAATTATACATTAAGTAAAACTATTCGTAAGAATAATAGACCGAATGAAAACAATATGATTAAATTGTTTCATTCATTTAATAGTCACATCTCCTGAGCTTCTGGTGCCAAACCAGTTGTTCACCGGACGGGCCGAGTGGGCACGGCTTCAGAGTTAGTCTCCATTGATGGGGTCCTATATTCTCGCACTGATAGTATTTATGGACATCATTTGGATACTCCATATACCCATCGCGGGAACAAATCACGTCAATTGGTTCGGGTGTTGGTGTCGGCGGCGCTGGTGTTGTGGGAGTGGTTGGCGGAGGTGTCGGCGCTGTAGTGGGTGTTGTCGGGGGAGGTGTGGGCGGAGTGGTGGGTGTTGTCGGCGGATCAGTTGGTGTGGTTGGGGCGGGTGTTGTGGTAGTAGTAGTGGTGGTTGTGGTGGTAGTGGTTGTTGGGGGCGGAGTCGGCGGGTAAATGTCTCCGTACGGACACTCCATGGATCCGCTGTCTTTGCCGTTAAGCATATCGTAAACAGTGTTAAGCAAAGGATACGCTCCTTCACCGCAACGGTTCTTGAAGTCGTCGTTTTCAAGCGCCCAAACCATCGCTCCCTTCAATTTCTTGCTCTTCAAGTATGCGATCTATTGATTGCATTAATATAGACATAAGTATACAAATCAATTATAAACAAATATAAATAAATTGACAATACTTTGCATTTAAGACTTTTTTTGTCTTCGTGTCCAATAAATATCTCATTAGTCCACGAATACGGAGCCAAATAATAGGGGTCTCCCGTGTGGTGCCAACCGCTGTCGTTTTTATTGAACATTTGGCACAACTATAAAATAGCAATTGATTTAATATTAAAGTAATTAAAAATAATCAAATTAAACACAAACCTCGTCGTAGCCCAACACTCCGGGCTCACCCCCTATCCAACCCGCGGGTGACATACCCTTTGCCTCGTCGTGAAGATGATTGTGTTGAGCGTCCATAAGAGTCCAACCCCTGCCATAGAAGGGCACTCCCATTATCATCTTATCCTTAGACAGACCCAGACTTAGGTAATAATTAACGGTATAGTCGACAGTGAAGTGCGTGTAATCCATTGGAGGTAATTGTCTCTCCAACTCTTCATTCTCTTCGGGTCTGTGATATACGGGTGCGTTGTGTCCCAAATAGTTATCAAACCCACCATGGTAGTCGTACGTCATTACATTTACCCAATCGAGCAGTTCATTCAGTTTTGGCACAACGAATGCCGCATCAATTGTTCCCTTTCCTGGAGATACGGCGGCCGTCAGGAGATATCCTTTCGGTTCAAACGCTTCCTTCAATTCTTCCAAAAGTTTGACGTAATTCTCTTTATCACTACTCGCGCCGCCTCTGGAGGCCGGATGTTCCCAATCCAAGTCCAGGCCATCGAAATTGTGTTTATCCAAGAATTCAACCGCACTCTTCACAAATCTCTTTCTGATATCAGGATTGGTAACCATATCTGAGTACTTCTCTGACCCCTCATACCAACCGCCCAATGATATCATTGTCGTTAAGTTCGGGTTCTTCTTCTTCAGGTCAATGAATCTCTGGTACGCCTCTGAAGACACAAATTTGTTATTCAAATAGATTCATAACTTATATAATAATGCAATAATTATAATTTATAAACATTATACTAACGGAAATGGTCTTCCAGCCAGGGATCAAACATTTGGATTTCATAATTGTATTCATCGATTTTAGCGAAACCATAGTTAACGTGTGTACACAATTCGTAGTTAATATCAGAGACATCAAACTTCTCGGCCTTATGGTAGAATGCCCAACTGCCAAAGTAACACACTATCGGATGAGGGTTCTTTGCATAATCGTTATGATCTACAATTATATTTATAATTATTTTTAATTGTCAAAAGTGTTTATATTTTTTTGTAAATCCAACCTCTTTTCTGCACGGCGTGAATGTCCGACAGAAATGACACCAAAAGCACGGAAAGCAACAAAACTCCCAATTTTGCCATTGATTACCAATTTGTGACAAAACTCTTTTGTCTGAACAACTGAAAAGTTTAGCACTCATTTAAATACATAATTCATATCCTGTTTGTGAGAGAGATTACAACAAATTACAAGAAAATAGAAATCACAAGCAACTTTTTCTATTGAAATTCATCTTATTTTATCAATAGTTACTTTATTATTTCAAGTATTTTTACCCTCCTTTAACTATTAGTTGTTTAATATTCAAAGTGTATACTTAGGTAACTAAGTTAAATTTTAAGTTGAAAATGTAAAACATTATTTTTTATGATTATATCAAATGGCTTAATTGCTTATTTTGATATTATAAATTACTATTCATGATTGTAATTCTGTGATTAATTATTTTATTTTAAATAATTGTTATCTATTTAAGCGTACAGGTGAAATAGTTTAATCTTTTACCCGTTATTTATTAAAATTTTATCAAGCCATTATTAATTTTGTAACGACAATTATTAATATAAGGGGCCTACCTGTGAATTCACGGTATATCATAATCAGGAAAGTTATTGATTTGGATATAAAGTCTATACATATAAATATTACAATGCATTACATAACTATTACTTAGAATTCAAGTTCGCTAAAAATAGAGACCACACACTAAGTAATTGACACATGAACCAGGATGTGTTAAGACCTCGGTGTACCAACAAAAGTATAATTTAAGTGGCACTGACTTAAAAACAAACTTGTTTATTGTTTGGCAGAACTTCACGAGATACATTGACTGATTAGATATAAATGTACTAATCAGACACATGTTACATAGGTTTCATGACATACTAGTTCTTTGTGTATCATTTGTGAATATGTTTGAGCAAGCAAGATGATTCTAGAATAAAGTAGCAACTGTTTTGATTAAACGTGGTTTGTGTGTAAAATTGATTATTCTGTATAATATTCTAAAAGTTATCAATGTTAGCATAAATAATGTTAACTAATTAAATTATGTGCGAATGAAATTTAAGTTATTAAATTCTTAAAAATTATCCTTCAATTTATCTTGATTTATTTTATTCATTTCAAGACTGAATGTAATAATTACTTATTTAATTAACAATAACTATCTGCAAAGGCAAACGCAAATTACCAAGAATATATACCTAATAAATTGTTGTGTAATTACTAATTACACAAAAAAAACATGGTAAAATTAGCCCTTTGCTACTCCTAACTATTAAGGACTTTATATGTAATGAATATGTCTTACGGATTATGTTTAAGACATAATATAAGTACTTATTACCTATCATGTGAATTTATAGTCTTATCTATTATGGAAATTGTGGTATTCGCTTATTTTGGCAACAACTTTACCCTGATTCTAAATCTCTTAATTTAAAGTATATAAGCTTAAAATAACTTACTATGATATTTTATTTATATTTATTTTATAAAAATAATGTCGATTTAAAAACATAGCGGTAGAACTGGAAATACTTTTATTGTTTAAAGTTTGACGGGTGGGGGAAACTGAATGCCAGAGACAAACAGTCGCTCTCTTATACCCAAAAGTAGAGTACAGTTAAGGACCTAAGGTTTTAATACAGATTCGAGGGATTATTCCAGTGATTGGAAAACTCAGTTACAGTTTAAAATGACAGGAATTACAGTAAAACATTGACATTCAATAAAAACATTTTAACAATAAGATTTTAATGTTTATTCATTTTTAAATATTTACTGATGATAAACTAATAATTAAATAATCTAGAATTTATGTAAATTGTTATGTCAGAAAAAATATGTTTTTTAAAAATAAAAACATCTCTATTTCCATAGAGTGCTCACTTAAGTGCCAAACTGTAGACATACAGTACTTTACATGTACAGGAGATACAGTAGATTGTGATCAGTTAATCCCATCAATTAAATATAGTAACTGAATAAATATCTAACATGATTATTTAAATTGACAATAACTGAACTTTAAAAATCATAATTATTAAAAATGTAAGTTTATTTTAAATTTTATTTGTTCGTAATTTAGCTACTGTGATTTTTCTCTATACATAATAATAAATAACCACATTTGGTTTTCTAAAAATTAGATTATGATATATTATAACAATTAAATTTGTCACAATATTATAAATCAATAAACAATGAGATAGCACATTATTTAAATATTTAATGCATTAAAATTTCGTTAAAATTTATTTTTCAAATTATGTTTATATACAATGCTTTATAGAATAATATTTGCATTCAATTATACAATTAGATAAAATTAATAATTAAGTTATTAGATAACAAAACAAGGTTAACTTAGTAAAAACCATCGGGGGGTCCGTCACACTTTTTGTGGGCCTGAACCCATGTCATGTCTCCCGGACAGGGCTGAAGGGTTAGTCTCCACTTATGGGGTCCGATATTCTCGCACTGATAGAACTTGTGGTGATCTAAAGCATAGGCCATATATCCGTCTCGGGAACAGTAAAAGTCTACCGGATCTTCAGTTGGGGAGGGAGTGGGCGCTGGTGTTGGTGTCGTGGGTGCGGGTGTGGGTGTTGTGGGCTTAGGTGTAGGTGTGGTCGGGGCGGGAGTCCTGGGGATAACGTCTCCGTAGGGACACTCCATAGATCCGGCGTCTTTGCCGTTAAGCATAGAGTACACGGTATTAAGCAATGGATTCTTGCCTTCACCGCAACGGTTCTTGAAGTCGTCGTTTTCAAGCGCCCAAACCATCGCTCCCTTCAGTTTCTTGCTCTTTAAGTATGCGATCTATTGATAGCATAAATATAGACATTAGTATAAAAAAGATTACAACAAATTATTAATTAAATAACAATACTTTGCATTTAAGACTCTTAACATCTTCGTGTCCAATAAATATGTCATTAGTCCACGAATACGGAGCCAAATAATAGGGGTCTCCTGTGGTGTGCCAATCGCTACCTTCTTTCTTAAACAGTTGGCATAACTATAAAATAGTAATTGAATTAATAAATTAATCTTTAAAAACAATTAAATTAAACACAAACCTCGTCGTAACCCAACACTCCGGGCTCACCCCCTATCCAACCCGCGGGTGACATACCCTTTGCCTCGTCGTGCAGTTTATTGTGTTGAGCGTCCATAAGAGTCCAACCTCTGCCATAGAAGGGCACTCCCATTATCATCTTCTCCTTAGATAGACCCAGACTTAGGAAGTAATTGACAGTAAAGTCGACAGTGAAGTGCGTGTAATCCATTCCCGGATGACTTCTCTCCAACTCTTCAGTCTCTTCCGGTCTGTGATATATGGGTGCGTTGTGTCCCAAGTAGTTATCAAACCCACCATGGTAGTCGTATGTCATCACATTTGCCCAATCGAGCAGTTCATTCAGTTTTGGCACAACAAAAGCATGGTCAATTGTGCTTTTGCCTGGAGATAAAGCGGCCGTCAGGAGAAATCCATGTGGTTCAAACGCTACTTTCAATTCCTCTAATAGTTTGACATAATTTTCTTTGTCAGTCGCCGCACCCCCTCTGGCGCCCGGATGTTCCCAATCCAAGTCCAGGCCATCGAAGTCGTATTTGATTAAGAATTCAACCGCAAGTTTGACAAATCTCTGTCTCATTTCAGAGTTGGTAACCATATCTGAGTACTTCTCTGACCCCTCATACCAACCGCCCAACGATATCATTGTCGTTAAGTTCGGGTTCTTCTTCTTCAGGTCAATGAATCTCTTGTACGCCTCTGAAGACAGCAATTGATTATTAGTTAAAATACACAATAATTATATAACATTATACTGACCAAAATGTTCCTCTAGCCACGGATCAAACATCAACAAAGTGTAGTTGTATTCATCGATTTTAGCGAAACCATAGTTAATATGAGTGCATAAATCGTAATCGATGTCTTCAATTTCAAATGGTTCGGCCTTATGGTAGTGTGCCCAACTGCCAAAGTAGCACACAATCGGGTGCGGGTTTTTTGTGTAGTCGTTGTGATCTATTATAACAAATTTAGTTATTTTTCTGTTATAAATAAATGCATGTCAAAATTCATACCTCTTTTGGCGACGGCGTCGAGACCGGTCACAAATATCAGCACAAGTGCCGAAAGTAGCAAAACTCCCATTTTTGCCATTTTATGTCAAACTCTTTGACAAATAATAAGTGAAGATTGAATTCGAGAAAAACTTATTTAAATACATAATTCATATCCTTTTTGGGAGGGATTTATATCAAAAGCGCCGAGAAATTAAAGGCGGTTTCAAAACAAATATTTCCAATTAAAATTTTGTCATTTTTATCAATATTAAACTTGAAAATAAAACTTTTATATTTTTCTGTCAATTAATTTTACCCTCATTTCACACATTAAGACTTTCAAACATTTCACACACATCTTATTAACTTAAAGTTACATAATTTTTAAATACTGATAAATAAAATTGAAACGGGTGATTTTTACATTATTTGTACATTTTTGAACTAATTACTATAACTTCTGTAATTTATTAGTTATTTATTTAGACATTATTTAAAATTGTAATATTAATATTTGTGCAAAATTAATGATAAAATGCTAGGTTTTAAATGTAAAAATACGGTATTCTTATAACAAATAACATTCACTGATTAGATATAAAGTATGTCATTATTGAACACTTGTTTCTTGGTATTGGTTTGAAATTTTGTATTATTGTACTTTATAATCTAATAACTAGATGATATATAAAATGTTGGCTCATGTTGTAACAATTTAGCATCATCTACTCTATCACAAAATAATTAGTCTGTTACAAAATCATTTTTATCATCGCCAATTTTTAAGAATATTACAAACCATTTTAATTCATGCATTGTTTGTTAAACATTTATTGTCCATTTTTTCGATAATTTTGGTCTCACGTTAATTAAGTGTCAATTGAGTGATATTTCTATTGAATGGCAAAATCATCTAAACTTCAATACTTTAATTGTTTGTGCATTAATAGGTTGGATGGTTTAAAGTCGTTGTTTGACTCTAAAGACCACAAAATTAAATATCATATCATTTGTACAAACAGTAAGATTCTATTTATTTTTACCCTTAATGGTTTTACTCGAAATAAAACAATTATATTAACAAATATAATAAAGTAGTGCTTATTTGGCTCATTAAATATATTGGTAAATCTTTAGTTTCATAATAATTTATATCTCTTGATTAAACCTATTGTCACATTTGACGATGTTTGTACATTGGAGCAGTTTGATTACAATAATCTCTATTATTCAATGCTATTGTTTAATATATTTGCTATTACGTTAATATTAATTAATACCGTTATCAATTATGTGAGCTTGACATTGGAATTTATTTACTTATAATATTAACCTTGATCAGACAATTTAGGCAATTATTTCTAGATGATATAAAATATTACACAACAATAAATAAATATACTGTATTTAGTTTTCTATACATTAGATGATGCTAATTTGACAGAATATTATAATTCAATAAACAGTTAGTAAGCAAATTAATTAATGCATTAAAATTTATTTTTAAAATTATGTTTATATACAATGTTTTATAATAATGTTTGCATTCAATTATACATCAAATAAAATTAAATTATTAGATTAAAAAACAATGCTTAAATTAGTTAAGGCTTATAAATTAAATAAAACTATTTGTAAGAATAGTAGATTAAATAAAAACAATATGCTTAAATAATTTCGATCATTTAATAATCACATCGTTTGAGCTCCTGGTGCCAAATCAGTTGTTCACCAGACGGGCCGAGTGGGCACGACTTCTTTGTAAGTCTCCATTCATGGGGACCGATATTCTCGCACTGATAGTAGTCATGTTTATCCTCACGATCGGGCATATATCCATCGCGGGAACATAATAGGTCTATATCACCGGGAGTTGTCGATGTGATTGGCACCGGTGTCGGTGTGTCGGGACTGGGCGTAGGTTTTTGTGTAGTTGTAGTCGTGGTTGTGGTGGTCGTGGGTTCGGGTGTGGGAGTCGGCGGGTATATGTTTCCGTAGGGACACTCCATAGATCCGCTGTCTTTGCCGTTAAGCATAGAGTATACGGTATTAAGCAACGGATACTTTCCGTCACCGCAACGGTTCTTGAAGTCGTCGTTTTCAAGCGCCCAAACCATCGCTCCCTTCAATTTCTTGCTTTTTAAGTATGCGATCTATTGATTGTATTAATACACACATTAGTATAAAACAAATTGCCATTAAATATAAATTAATTAATAATACTTTGCACTTAATACTCTTAACGTCTTCGTGTCCCATAAATATCTTTTTAGTCCACGAATAAGGAGCCAAATAATAGGGGTCTCCCGTTGTCTGCCAATCGCTGGTTTCATTTTTCTTAAACAGTTGGCATAACTATAAAATAGTAATTGAATTAATAAATTAATCATAAAAAACAATAAAATAAAACACAAACCTCGTCGTAGCCCAACACTCCGGGCTCACCCCCTATCCAACCCGCGGGTGACATACCCTTTGCTTCGTCGTGAAGTTTATTGTGTTGAGCGTCCATAAGAGTCCAACCTCTGCCATAGAAGGGCACTCCCATTATCATCTTCTCCTTAGACAGACCCAGACTTAGGAAGTAATTGATAGTAAAGTCGACAGTGAAGTGCGTGTAATCCATTCCCGGGTGACTTCTCTCCAACTCTTCATTCTCTTCTGGTCTGTGAAATATGGGTGCGTTGTGTCCCAAATAGTTGTCAAACCCACCATGGTAGTCGTATGTCATCACATTTGCCCAATCGAGCAGTTCATTCAGTTTTGGCACAACAAAAGCATGGTCAATCGTGCCCTTTCCGGGAGATAAGGCGGCCGTCAGGAGATATCCCTCCGATTCAAACGCTACCTTCAATTCCTCTAATAGTTTGACGTAATTCTCTTTATCAGTCGCCGCACCCCCTCTGGCGCCCGGATGTTCCCAATCCAAGTCCAGGCCATCGAAGTCGTATTTCACCAGGAAATCAACCGCACTCTTCACAAATCTCTGTCTCATTTGAACGTTGGTAACCATATCTGAGTACTTCTCTGACCCCTCATACCAACCGCCCAACGATATCATTGTCGTCAAGTGTGGGTTCTTCTTCCTCAGGTCTGTGAATCTCTTGTACTCCTCTGAAATCACAAATTCATTATTAGTTTAAATAAACAATAATTACATAATATTGTATTAACCCAAATGGTCTTCCAGCCAGGGATCAAACATTAGCATTGTGTAATTGTATTCATCGATTTTAGCAAAACCATAGTTAATATGAGTGCATAAATTGTAGTCAATGTCTTCAATTTCAAATGTTTCATTCTTGTGGTAGTGTGCCCAACTGCCAAAGTAACACACAATCGGGTGCGGGTTTTTCTCGTAGTCGTTGCGATCTGTAATAATTAATTTTTTATTTTCATGTTATCAATAAATGTATGTCTAAACTCATACCTCTTTTGGAGACCGTCGGTTTTGCCTGAATGTCGGTCACAAATATCAGCACAAGTGCTGAAAGTAGCAAAACTCCCATTTTTGCCATTTTATGTCAAACTCTTTGACAAATAATAAGTGAAGATTGAATTAAATAAAAATTCATTTAAATACATAATTCGTATCCTTTTTGGGAGGGATTTGTATCAAACGTCCCGAGAAATTAAAGGCGGACTCAAAACAAATATTTCCAATAAGTATTTTCTGATATTTATCAATATTAAACTTGAAATTTTATTTTTAATGTCAATTACTTGATCCGTCATTTCACTTGTTATTGTCTTGAAATTACATAGAATTTTATTCTTATAACAAACAAAATTTATTGATTAGATATATTATTAAATACTGTACTTATTTATTGAAATTCGGTTAATTTTTAATACAATCTTTATATTTTGTTTAGAATTTTTTATATCATAAGTTATTGATGATTCATAACAAAATGATCTAGCATAATCTACTCTAGATTCAATTACTATTACAAAATCATCTTTATTATCGTCAATCATTAAGAACATTATTCAATAATACTGGTAAATCTTATTTAAGAAAATGTATTTTTTGTAAAATGTTCACTTATTTGTTAATTTGCATTATAATTTTTGTACCAATTAAGTCCAGTATTTATGACGCTATACAAAAGCAATAATAATTTTTTGTACGAATTTTTAAAATATATAATTATTTTTTAATCTAAAACACTATTGTAAAAATAGTAATACATTTTTGTGATTATTGATCAGACTTTTTTTTGATGTAAATTATGTTGTACCATGCATATAATATTCAGATCTTAATAGTTTGTGCATTTATGATTTGACTGGCATAAACATGTGGAGATTTGATTGGCCCTAAAGGCCACTTAATTAAATATCATGTTATGTTATACAGACCTTCAATATTAACCGTAAGATTATATTTATTTTTACCTTTAATATAAACAATTGTATTAATAAATATAATAAAATATTGTTTAATTGTGTCAGAAATATAATACATTTTTCAATTTTTTATAATACTGTATATTTTATTAGCAAAACTATTGCCACATTTAAACATCTAAAATCAGATTAATGTAATAACTTAATTCTCTATTATTTAATGTTATTGTTTAATATATTTTATATAACGTCAATATGAATTTGTATCATTATCAATTATGTGAGCTTGACATTGGAATTTATTTACTTACAAAATATAAGTTATAATATTGATCTTGGGCAATTATTTCTAACTGATATATTTAAAAGTTTATGATACGCGTTTTATTACTTAATATTTTATCCAATTAATAAAAGATTTTGTTGATTGTGTTTATTTAAAAATTAATTGTTTAAGTTTTAATTATTTTAATTATTAAAATCTGTTTAATTTTTGTGAATATGTTGAAATATTTATTAACATGAAATAATATGATTGTATTTTTATTACATTATTTAATTATAAAGATGATACGTTTTTAATAATTAAATTGTTTAATTTTGTTTGAACCACTTATAAACAAATGTGGCACAATGCATCCGGGTATATTTTTAATTTGATGTACAGATATTATTCTAGATATGTACAAGTGGAAAATTAGATAAATTATCATGGTAATAATACTTTTCAATTATATGTGTTACATTATATAATATCAAAACTTACACAATAATAAAATTACTTTTAAAAATTAAGAAACAACTAATAACTCAAAGCATGCATTAATATTCATTTCAGATATTATTTATTTATTATTAGTTTAAAATATATATTTTATATCAATTATTATTGTTAATTAAATTAATTATTAATCTTAATCTAAATTACCAGATCTAAAACTTTTATAAAACTTGCAATTTTATTTATTGAAATAAAACCATATTTTATTAATGCTAAAACAACTTTAATTCTTTATGGTAAAATTTATTATTGGTAGATTTTATAAATGTTAGTCCTTTGATATTTCTAATGTAGTTAGTATTGTGAAATTAATTTTATTGTTTAAGCTTACATTCTTAGACATGTGAAACCATGTTTTATAAAAATCGGAGGATTGGTCTTTATATTATAAATTTTTACAATGTGTTGGAATTATTTTTAGAAATCTAGATTGTATTAAAAAAAATTGTATTTATTTAAAAATTTTTACGAATATATAAAAGTTTATTAGAAATGTTTGTACAGTTATAAAATTATATATAAAGTAAGGTAGAAAGTGTGCAATACTTAATACGTTATAATTTTAAGATAATTCAAGGTAAAGAAAGTCTATGTGTAATCATTAATGTATGGAAATTCATATAGTTTGATAAGATTTAGTAATAATTATACAATAGTTAACAATTGACACATAATTGTCGTAACAGAGATCCGGATTAAAGAGTTTCTTAATTCAAAACATTATATTTCCACGAATTTCCGAAACATAAGAGCATATTATCAATACTTTAATTAAATATTTTATGCAATATATTGATTAAATTGTTTACACTTCACTCTATTGTTAAATCTAATCATTTGTGTGATTAAAAAGTCAAAGATGTAATTGAATTAATCCCTTAGTATTAAAGTATAAATACCTATAGTTTGGATAACATAATGCTTTTTAAACAATTGAGAGATTGCGTCAATGGTTTGCAGAATATATGCTTTACTTTATTTTATATTGCAATAATTGTATAATTGTACTTTGTGCAATTATTATAACATGTATTTAAAAATTACCCTGACTAATTTCCAGCAAACATTAATATTGTGGATATAATTTGCTACACCCTAGAATTCTAGTAGAATTTGTTGCATGTCCATAACAATTATTATTTTTAATAGAAATATGGCAAACTATGTTTAATTAAATAGTTGGTTTATTGAAAACAATAACATAGATTGTATTTTTGTAACAAACAATATGTTTGTTTGCATCTGAATAGTTGTATACATGTTGTTGTTGTAGTTGTAATATCTATTATAGTATAGATAATATATAGATACTATACTATACTATACTATAGTATAGATAATAATATTACATTCATGGTAGATATTATAACCTTAATATTAAAATATTATTATATAATAGAGCTATCAATTTGCACATTAATTTAGTAAAGAACTTTATATAGAACTTTATTGAACATACATATACTGTATATTTGCCTTGTCTAAAATAATTGTCAGGTGCTCTCATCCTCTCAAAAGTTCCACTCATTAAACATTACATTTACTTTTAAACTGTATATGAATTTATTTAATGATAATACTATCGGAAAAGTGTATTGACTTAATGCACATTGAGTTATCAAAAAACTAAATGTTTATAAATATTTAAATAGTTTGCTTTAAAATGAGCTAATTAGTAATTTCTATTTTAATCTAATACAAAACTACCTTAAACTTTAGTATAAAATATATTAAACATTTCAGGTAACAATTATATTATTTAATACTAAATCAATGCTAAAATGAGATCAAAATTAATCTACATGTATTAATTGATAATAAGCCAAATAAACAGTTTGTGTATCAGTTTATTGCTGGGTATATATCGTTATAGCCTTTCAAATCACTTCAAACTGACTCCGATTAAACTTTTTCTCCACTTTATATACCCTTATCTGCAAAACAAATTGTGTTATGAAATAGATTTTTCCAATCAATTGACACAACGAGTGGTCTATTATTGTTTTTTTTAATTTGTGGTCAATTATGAAAATAATTTTGTTAATATGCTTATGGATTGCTGGCTATGGCTATGGAATGCAAGTAATTAATTGTTTTAATTAACATAATATAGTTATATCAATATTAAACTATACCATCAATAATAAAATTATTTGTAAAATATATATAAAAACATATAAATATTTACATTAATTTCAAAACACCATGATTTTATTTACAGCAATTTACAGCATAATCCAAAAAATCACACTTAATTTGTAGATAGATTTTAAAAACTTTTTATTCGCAAAAACTAATCTCACGCTTATATATAACAAAACGTTGATTACAGGCCGGAGCGGAGGGCACGCTATGGCCGTATCCACAAGAGGTCAAAATCGGCGAAACCTTCTTCACAATTACCAAACAATTTAATTTCACTCTCAAAACGGCCGGAAAGTGCGATCTGTTGGACAAAGCGATCGCCAGATATCGCAAACTGTTTTTCCTCGAAGACTGCTCTTTGGTCAGCGAATCGGCGACCGAAACACTATTTGACGGACAATTAAATGTGCGCCAAAATGGGTTATATTTGGGCCAAATCGCGAACATAACGCTATCGGTTCACGAAAAGTGCGAAACAGTGCCGCACATGAATATGAATGAAATGTATTCAATCAATATTAACCAACAGATCCAAGACATATACGCCGAGACGGTGTGGGGCGCCATCCGAGCGCTCGACACACTCTCGCAACTGATCCGAAATGTGGGCCAAAATCAGTTCGCGATCAACGAGACAGCGATACTAGACTTCCCCCGATTCGCGCACAGAGGGCTTATGCTCGACACCAGCAGACACTACGTCCCCATCAAAGAGTTGCTCCAGAATCTGGACGCCATGGCCTACAATAAGTTGAATGTCTTTCACTGGCATATCGTCGACGACCAGTCCTTTCCTTACGTCAGCTCAATATACCCGGAGCTCAGCGTTAAGGGAGCCTTCAATGCGAAGACACACATCTTTACGGAGCAACAGATCCAAGAGGTGATCGCTTACGGCGCCGAACGCGGTATAAGGGTTTTGGTGGAGTTTGACTCACCCGGACATACACTGTCGTGGGGTAAGGGATACCCAGACCTCTTGACCCCCTGTTACTCGAGTGGCAAACCCGACGGCACGTACGGACCGATCGATCCGTCGAAGAACTCGTCGTATAAATTCATCGAAACCCTATTCAAAGAAGTCGGTCACAGATTTCCCGATCAATACATGCATTTGGGCGGCGATGAGGTGGCGCTCGACTGTTGGCAACACAACCCAAACATCCAGTCCTTTATGAAGGCCAACAATTTCACTACAATTCCACAACTGTTCCAGTATTACATCGAAAACCTCTTAAACATCGTCAGGAGTTTAGACAAGAGTTATATCGTGTGGCAGGAAGTGCTGGACGAAGGGGTTGTACCCAAGTCTGACACTATTGTGCACATATGGAAGGATGGATGGGAGGGGGAAATGCTGAACGTGACCAAACGGGGTTTCCAAACCATATTATCATCATGTTGGTATTTAAATTACATTAATTACGGCACTGATTGGCCCAAATACTATGCTTGCGATCCGCATAACTTTGGCGGTACTGAACAGCAAAACAAATTGGTTATCGGAGGCGAGGCCTGTATGTGGGGTACGGTTTGACTTATGATATACACGAATGTGTTGTCAATACAATAACTTATGT